CTCGATCCCTACGAATTTGGGTAGAGAATAAACTCAGCATATTCTCTACGAAACCCTAGCCCCGAGGCTCCTATAAATAGATGACTTCATTCATCATTCAAGGTACATCTAAACCTACTCCTTATACCCGAGAAAAATACCCGATCAAGCTCTTTCTCCCTCTCCACTCTCCATATTTTCTCCACACGGCTCCGGCCGCCCGGTTCACACCCTACATAAACATTACTCTATAGCCTTTGCTTAGCTATTGTTTTTCTACAAACACTCGAACTAACTTAGGCATCGGAGGGCCTTTGGCCAACACCCCCCGGGTGTGGTCTATTTACTCCAATCTATTTTACAGGAATCGAGGAAGAGATAGAAGGAAGATCGAAGGTTGAAGGATCTAGAAGCGAATATTCTCCTGTGAGATTATTTGCACAAACAAACTCGTAACGACGGTCAGACCCATTCTGTTCAAAAGACATTATGGTCAGTAAATACAGGAGGCATGTATCTCTTTTAGCATTTTAGAGGTTACTCTAGCTCATAAGCATCAATACTTGCATCTTCGGTGGTAGAATTCCATATCCATAAAGGCCAAATGAAACTAACAGCAGAAGCTTGGATATAGATGAGGCTAAAAGTTCTTCCACAAAGCAAAAACGAGTAAAACAACATACTCAAAGCAAGGAAATAAGTAAAAGATTTCTTCTCATCACGCCACAGCAAAATGTCTGCAACTGCAGGCAATACATTTCAAGGTCATTCTACAATCACAATCAAACATTTTACGGTTACAATCAAACAATATACTAGCGCATATGATGGATCATGTTTGATCTGACGATGTGTTCTAAAATGCAAATCCTTCCTGGTGCTATACGTAGTCCGTTTGACGTTATACAAAACCCTGTTCAAGAGCCTAAGTAAAGATGTGGATTAAATTACATAGTACTTAGTATGGCACCATGCAAGAACAAACCGCCATGATGCGTACCACTTGCACCATAATTGGGCGCAAGGATCCAAGTCAAGAAGCCCAGCCCTACCCAGCAATTACTTTTGAAAATAATGTGTAGCTGATATCAAAATAGCGCACAACATAATATGGTACAACGGAAAACAACCTTCTCCTCCTTTGCCTAGCAGCTTCTCCACTTTTGATTGCTCATTAGAGTCACTGTAACTTGTGAAAGATGAATATTTGGCTAAATGAGATTGAGTTGATGGTTAATGTGACACCTTCCTGTCCTGTACACAGGTAATCGGCACTGACGAACCAGATTTTTATACCTTGAATTTTCATGCTTTCCAATAAGCAATAACTATATGACAATACATTGTAATGCCTACTTCATATCCAACAAAAACCACTAGAAATCATTTTCAAAACGAAGGGAACAGGAAGCAGCCTTCATTAAGCTTCTGCTATGTGCTAGAAGCAATCAAATATTCACTACTACAAAAAAGGAAAACCACGACGGGAATTCAC